TATATATATATATATATATATTTAAAATAAAGGCAGCAAATTAGATATAGAAAATAGTCATATTGTATAAAGTAATAGGAGTATAAAAAGTGTAAAACGTCTCAGTCATTTCTTAGCATATAGTGAACCGAATCACTTTTTGTTGAGTTTCCTTTGTTACACATATATAGAAAATTATTTTGTATGTTGTTCATATTTATTTATATTTTTCTCAGTCTAAGTAATTCTTTTAAATTGTTTGTATTTTTTGAAATGAAAAGTCTAATCTAGTGGTTGTGAATATTTTTGCAAGGCACTGATATTCCTCAGTTTCTTTTGTCTGTAAAAACGTAATACTTATATGGCATTAATACAGGTAAATCATTCCTTATTATAACAACAGCTGTATAGGTAACTAATTTTAATGTTATTTCAGGTAAAAATGAGAGTTTTGCAGCAGATGGACTGAGAAGCTGCATGGCTCCAGAGCTGCCATTTGCAGGCTCCAGCTTTGTCCACTAGATGGCGGCAAAAACCCGTATTTGCTCATTTTGGGGGGAAAAAACTCCATTATTTTGGACTTTTGTGGAATTTTGCTTGTTATACAAGGCATGACGTATGATTTGTAACATACACTGTTCATTTAGCTGAGCCCCAGGAACATTTATTGAAAAAAAGTATGAATTTCACCATGATTGTATACAGATGCTGAGCTTGGCCTCCTGGTGACATAATTACCTTTAGAGAATCCTTATGAGTTCAAGTGTAAATATGGGTCAACTTATAATCAAAAACTTAACCTTTAAGTACTCAAGGAAGTTATGTAATTGTTATTTCTTAACAGCTTTAGACTTTTAACGGTACAGTAGGTCACTCTGTAGAGAGTGCCCTGTTATCTACTGTTTCTGTTTGTATTGAAAGAGGAACCGATTGTTAAAGAGACATTCACCAGACTCCACTCTGATATGTAACGCCCTCCTCTTTTAAATCTTAACCCAGCAGAACTGTAAATCCCTTTGAACTGGACAGCAAGCTGAGTGAGACCATCAGTGAACTCTGCAGAGCAACATGGAGGACTCAAATCACAGACTAGGCCAGAAGAAAGTGGTAGCAGTGGTGGGTGGTGGTTTGGTAAGAATGAAATTAAAAGCTAATAATTAATCTAGTGTCCATATTGTTTTATTTTGTCTTTACTTTGTTTTCTTTTTCACGTTCTCTCGCTAAAAAATGTGTCCAAATGCTCTTTATGCTTCGTAACAGTCTGGTTTTATAAAGTACTCTTTGCAGCTATAACTCTAACTAGAAAGCAATAGGTCACAAAAAGGGGAACTTTGGACTGCACCATTGTGCTATTGTGTGTAAAGCAGTGATTTCCTGCCCTTTTGTAAATGGATCTGTTTTAATCTTTGAGGTGGGGGCCCTAAACGCCTGCTACTTCGCCAAAAGAGGCTTTGAGGTGGAAGTGTTTGAGACGAGAGAAGGTAGCATTCACTTTCCTCTTTTACAAAGCCACAAAATCTGCAACACCTCAGCCAAAATTTCAGTAGATGATTATCACTGTGACTAGTTTTACAAAGCTACTCATCATTCATTTCTGTTTTGTGTCTGTCTTTGATCAGATATTAGGAATGCCAAAGTAGTAAAAGGCAGAAGCATCAACTTGGCCTTATCCCACAGAGGCCGGCAAGCCCTGAAACATGTTGGAATGGAGGATAAGGTAAGAGACAAGTCAGAGATAAAGTTAAGAAGTTTAAATCAGGGTTACGTTGTAAAGAAAAAATAAAAAAATCAAAGCCATAAAAATAAAAAAGCATGTTTTACCTACAAAGTGAAGAGAGCAGTACCACCATTAGACACGGCAATGGCAGAATCATGGTGCGGGGAAGCTTCTTTATAACAGATCAGATCAGAGCGGGTAGAGAAAGAAAAATGCAGGAAGATCCTGGAGAAAAACGGCTTTGAAGCTGAAAGAGACTCCAGATCATGTCGGAGGTTTGTCCCCCTGCAGGACATTGACCCTAAACAGCTTGAGCTGCGATGAGAATCTGCAGCATGATGTGAATATTGCTGGTATTATACAATCTCCATCCAATGTGTCTGACAATAAGGTGGAAGTTATCTCCACTCCACCACCAGTTCAGTCCTGTTCATGCATATCCATCAATATTCAGCGCTAAGTTTCCTGCTGAGGTCTGAGCACTAAAGAC